TAAGAACACCTATCCATTTGTATGTCATACATTTATCTTAGGAAATCTAGAAATATAAAAAGTTTTCCTCAAACTTATTACTAATGAGATGTTAACTGTAGTTATCTATGGAAGAAAACACTACTTTTCTTTCTACGATTCTCGAAATGTCCTAGGGTACAGTACCACGTAACGATTTTACAAAATCTACACTTATTTAAGTATTTAAATAACTATACATATAAGATAAAGACGATTGAAAATAAAATGGTCAAAAACAAACAAATTTGGCAAACATTAAATTAACAACAAAAAAAAAACACAAAAGAAATTTAAAGAAAATATAATACAACCACAAATGGAGACACGGAGAACAGCAGGCTACACATAATATACTAAGATATAAAATACACAGGTATGAGAAATAGCAACAACGCGTGCTAATTTTACAAATGCCCTAAGCCAAGTAACATGAGGCTGTAGCCTAGCTAGAAATGAAACTGTATTTTCATCTCATTTTATCTACATCATAATTCATCAGGCAACAGAATCGATAAGTTAGGCTGTGTTCTTTTATTCATCTTTTGGATGCGATAGATTATGTAGAGCCAATCAGAAATTTGGAAACGTACCAATAATATGAGGATGTAACAAATCGCATCAAAATGATGAATAAACGAACACGGCCTAACTCATCGATTCTGTGGGCTGAATGTAGCCCTTAACTCCTTACCACCTCTATTTCCCCCTCTCTTTCTTTTTCTCTTCGTTCCATTATCAGTACTGTCAAATCTATAGTTTCAGAATACCGAAATTTCGGTTTTTTGTACATTTTATGTTTTTTTGTCATAAATACGAGACAACCTAAGAAATAATTAATAATTTTGATCAGGTTCTCTTGTATTGTGTTACAAAGATTTCTATATTTTCAACACTTTGTTTTTTTCTAACCCAAAATCTGGATGTTTATGAGTGCTACACAGTTTCAAGCAAAACTTAATTTTGATTACTGATACTCTTATCCATTTGCAGTTATTCCCAAATTAAAATTGCAAAATTTTATTTAAAATTGTATATCTTTTTTAAAAATTCAAATAATAAGGAGGTTGGAGGTTTGTGCGGGAGAGGGGGCGGCATATTATTCAGTAGGTCCCACGTACGCCCAGGAGCGACTTACCACCATTCAGTGCAGGAATGAGGGAAACCTGAAAGAACTCATTAATTAGGGGTTGGTCAAACGCCGACTCGTTTCAATCTGTCACATTGACCAACGTTCTTCCACCCTGCCATACCCGCAGAGAGAGAGTGCCTCTACAAATATAGCTGATCTACGGTCTTAAGGACGCGGGGATCGAATCCGTGACAGTGGCATTCATCGATTCAAGTACTGACGCTTCGAACCGCGACCGACTCGAAATGTGAGATAAATAAAAAAACAAAGTATTGAGAATAAGTAGGGGCTTTGTAACAAAGTGCAAAAGTGCATAATAATTATTCCTACTGTGTCGTACTTGACTATGAAAACATTATTTTGGTTCTCCTGGTATAATAAATCGCAATATACTTTTTCCAAAATTTAGATGAAGTTCTTTGCAATATGTCAAGACATAATCAAAATCGGTAAAGATTCACAAAATTTTAGATGAAATCTTTTTAACCTGTTAGTTTTTTCATAAAATTCGTATAACTATTTTTAATTACTAATACTTTTAGATACTTTATATTCCTTTACATGCATTTCATTACGTCTAAAAGTGACAACTTTTCAAAATAACTAGGTACTCGCATATCATTTTGCCAAAAAATTTTGAAAACTTGGGAATGTTGACAGATTCTCTTCTCGAAAATAAATTAGATGAATACATTCATTTTGGATTTACATATACCCAACGTTTTTGATAAAATAAGATAATTACGGTATATAATTAAAAACAAACAAATGTTAAAAGATATAAACTCTCGTTTGAAGAAAATCGACGAAAATTACAAGACATAAACTCGCTGAAAAGTTCTTAAAGACATTTATATTATTATCTATTTCTAAATATAAAAACGTCACTTGATATTTAACTCATATAGTTTAAGCAATTATTCAAAACTTTAGCCAAAATTGCTTAAATAAGATACAGTTTATATGCGTGATAGACTGAAATTGCCTTTAAGTGATAAAAAAAAATTATCCAGCACTCAAAATGAAATATTGCAGATAAATAAACTGTTTTAGACATCTGTTAATTCTAAAAAGTATTTTAGAGATTTACCTGTTAAAATGTTTTATGGAAGCAGCGAAAATAATGAAGGCTTATTCGCGGACTATTTTAAGTCTGTTTATACCATATATTATAACATAAATCACACCTGTAATAACGGAAACTTTGTTAGTAAATTGATGGTAACATTATCAAAATAACTTCTAACCGGATATTCCAACAACGATCATCTTTAGATGGTAACAATTCCCTAATATCACATTATCTTAAGACGTTTATTCTCTGATATAAATGTCTCTAGATTTTATTTGTAACGAATCTATAAAACTTGTATGTTTTCTTAAATTTGGTTTTCAAATCGTCAAATAAAATAACACCATGGCCCAGTTTATAGTAGTACAGTAATATAGTCAATATTTGACCTATTATTTTTTCTTTATTTTATCGCTGATATTTCTATCAACATCTACAGAAATAGTAACACCTAAATATTAAAATTAATAAAATATGCAACATAAAGATTAGCCGTCTTCTTCTGAATTAAGAAAATTGGAATCATGGAAAATAATATGCTAATGTTTGAACAAAAAATGCCACTTTAAAATTATGAATGTGTAATTCAATTATTTAATACAAAAAAAAAACTTTTATTACAAGACACGTATATTATACAGAATGTTTTGAAAAGAGAAGGCATAAAACAATATGTTGCAATAAAATTTGATATGTTTCTGATGATTTAAAGTTTTCAATTATCTTGTAGAGATCGCTGGTTACAATCTTTCCATCGACATTTTAGCATTTTAGAATAGGTATAACTTTTTTGATGCTAGGTTTTCTGTATTATCTTATAAAGTAGATAAATGTAAATGTGCAATGTAAATGCAATGTATGTAGATTATTTATGTACTTAAACTACATTTTTCTGGACGAGCTTGTTTTTGAGCTGGTGATGCACTGAAGCAAATACTTCTCGGACGCTACAGTATACGGAGTATGTTCAGAAATTAACCAAATTTTATTTTTTAAACTTTATATTCTTAATTTTATACATTGTCCTTGTCTCCTTCAAGGTACTCTTGGTTTGATGTCATCAATAGTTTGATTTCAGCACTGATTTTAATTTTGGAAACAAGAAAAAATCGCAAGTAGCTAGGTCCGGTGAGTAAGGGGGTGGGGGATTTTTATCACAAAACTAACGAATAGACAAAGCTGAGCAGTGTGCGGGCGCATTGTCATGGTGCAAGAACCAGGAATTGTCTCGTCATAACTCTGGTCCCTTTTTGCAGATTTTTTCACCTTGAGGCAAGAATTCAAAATGCGCAAGTGCATAAAAGTAAAAAAAAACAGTGAGTTGCCAATTGTGATGATTGAACACTCAATGTCGTAGTCGTAAACCCAGCTTTTGTCTCCCATTGTGATCCTTTGAATGAATGTTTCATCGTCGTTGAATTATTCAATGAGTTGCCGACAACCGTCCACACAATTTTCTTTCGGTCATCAAATGAGGAACGAATTTTGCAACAACCCGATGAATGTTCAAATTATCAGTCAAAATTGCATTGCATGGCATGACATTAAGATGCTAACCTCTTCTGCAATTTCTCTGACAGTCAATCGGCGATTTGTATGCACCAGATCTTTGACTTTCTGGACGTGGGAGTCATCAGCTGAAGTTGAAGGCCTTCCTGGTCGAGGATCATCTTCAATTGACTGACGACCAGGTTTAAATCGTGATAACCGTTAGTAACATTGCGTACGAGACAGAGTCCATAAGTTTGTTTCAAAAGTTGACGTTTCCGTGAAAGTTTTCTCCAGTTTCACGCAAAATTTTACGTTGGACAGTTGTTCCAGAAAATCGCACAATTCAGAAATTGTCACTAATACTTAAACACGTTGCACTAGAATAACAATATCACGACAACTAAATGAAATATCAGCAATCCAAGAACAAGTGGTTATAGAGAAGGTTATGTGCAACGCAATGCTGCCAACCGCATATCACTAAATATTTTCATTAGCGCGTAATTCAAAAAGTTCGGTTATTTTCTGAACAGACCTCATATAGGTTCTTATTTTTAAAAAGTCACACGTTTTAAGATAAATAGCTTGACATGACATAAAAAGCAGGCATAGCATAAAAACAGTTCTCTTCTGCAAAGTTCGTACAACTAGATTTTATCACGAGATTTTGCACATAAATGTATTCTTTCTGAAATTACTGAAAATGCACCGTTTTTTTGTCAATACACAATGTGATTCCAAGTGAATTAAAATATTGATGGAGTAAATCTTTTAGAAAACAACTTCGTATAAACATATATTATAAAATACCCCATATGTAACATACAGTATCTCAAAAACAAAAATAAAACTACTCAAGCCTAGGTTTTACTTGAGTGATTCATAGTAAACAGTATTTCTCATTTTTTTTCTATAACTTTTAAATAAACAAATAATAGGTTTTTGATATACATATTTAAAAAAGTAATGAAAATAGATTTTTAAAAGTTAGTTGTTGGGAAATTTTATCCTTATTTTAAACAATGCATTTATTCAAGGTTCTATACTAGTCAGTATCGATTTAGCTCTCATAATTTAAAATAAAACACAAACCACGGCAGATTAATATAAATAACTGTGTATATTAATACTTTAGGACAAATATAAAGTGGATGCCATACCATTCATATCACTCACGTTTTGACGCAAAAAAAATTGGTTATTAAGAAACAAATATTATTAATTTATTCCGGAATTAAAGCGGGCACAACCAAAATTTTAAGTTAGCTTACATGTACAACCACCTACCTCCAAGAAATCCGAAGAAAGTCACTGTAAGAACTACGCTGCAGCATAGACGTTTAGTAACATATTCGGAAATGGAATTGTTGGTGTTCCGGCTAGCTTCCACACTTAATATGCGCTGCATTTTCACTGAAAATTAGTTTGGCGGCATCCGTTAATCTCTGTCACCTCGTAAGAATATTGTATTAGTAAAAACAAAAATAGTGGCAGACTTAAGTAAGTCGTAAATTGGCGGAATTCCAGAAATATAATAAGATCCAGCATGTCCACATATCTTTTGTTGTTGTATTACAATATTAACGTAAACGTATTTCCCCTTGTGATAAACAAATACTTAGAGGCTGAAATTCGCTTAATATTCCAGAGAAGCGATATAACTAACGCTAGGACATTGGTGACTGTTGAAAAACTATAAAACGTGCTGTGAAACAAAGCGCTCACGCATTTGTGGATACCTATACCGTCTATGTGTGCTATTTTTATGTTGGGCTCCTCATAATGAGACAATTCCGCGGCCGTATTGAAATATTTTAGGATCATCAAAGACTCTCGCGACTACATAAACATTGCAATTTTTATCTGCTGTTAATTCTGACAAATACGTAGGTAAATGTTTACCGACTGTTTTATTATTTATTCAAGGAAATGGCGAAGGCGCAAGGAAAACAATTTTATTGCTAAAGCGTTTTCTAGTAAATATTGATATTCTTGGAATATATTGTTTATTATAACTCTTCAAAAATTGTAATGAGAAAAAAACATTCATTGCAAGTACGCGTGCAAATATTGAAATACTACACATAAATTTATCTAAAAGTAATTTATTTAATCACTATATTACTATTTTGATTAATAATCAGGATTTTTCAAATTATGTCATAATTTCTGGGAAATGTCTTGGATTATTTATTTACATAAATATCTCATGTAGATTGAACCTTGGTAATGGAGATACTACATACTAGACAGTCAAAGTTCTACAATTTTGATACCACTGAATATACCACATTTAATTTATCTACTGATGTTATTTCTAATTAGGCTAATCTAGAGCATTAAATCTGTTATTTTGTGACAAAAATTTTAGTAGCAAACGGACTGTGCTATGTTTATGTTCTCTACTCCAATTTACCATTAAATAATTTTTTATAAACATTTTTATACAAAAACGCATTTTTTTAGTTTTTTGCTTATAAAACCTAAACTAACGGAGCAATCTGAATGCAATACAGAGACAATTTGTAGAGAATCGAAATACGAATAAAACAAGAGGTTGTTGAATCGAAATCTAAGAAAAAAGGTTGTAATAAATGCCCAGTTTGCAATAAACTTCTTTCGGAGTTAGATCTTTATGCCTAACTCACAGGTTTCGTGTTTCCATACATTTCCACCATGTTCATTAATTTATTGTTTGTTTATGTTGATTATAGGTCATTCTCACTTATTCGTACACGCACCAAAAGCACACTGCCCTTTTGTAAAAATAAAATAGAGTAAAAGTAAGAATCTAGAAAAACAAATGACACTTGAATATTTTTTCACTAATTGAAATTTTGATTTATTATGGAACTAAACTGTGCAATATTCAAAATTTCTACAGTAACTTCTATGGACATTTGAAAATAATATTGTATTTAAATTAGTTATAAAAAAATAAAACTATTTACTTACTTAAAATTATTTTCAGTGTAATCAACCATCGACCTTGAGCTTATCGCTTAGAAAAAAATAACTAAATATAAGAACTATTAGGGGAGATCGGAGTTAATCATACCATTTTTTCTTTAGAGAACATTTAACTAAGCAGCTGCGGACATGTATACGGTTCTAGAATATTTAACTGTCGTTTCTATTAATATATTTAATTATGAGTCATTCCAAAGAATGAAGCAATTGCATGGGAGCAACCAACTATAAATAAGCATTCTCGAAATTTTGTAAAAAATGTTTTAATTTCCAATTCTTATTTGTTATGAACGTCATTTATAAATAGAACAGAATCGAAATCTAAAAAAAAAGTTGTAATAAACGCCCAGTTTGTAAACTTCTTTCGGAGTTAGATCTTTATGCCTAACTCGCAGGTTTCGTGTTTCCATACATTTCCACCATGTTCATTAATTTATTGTTTGTTTATGTTGATTATAGGTCATTCTCACTTATTCGTACACGCACCAAAAGCACACTGCCCTTAAGTAAGAATCTAGAAAAACAAATGACACTTGAATATTTTTTTACTAATTTGCACAGTAGAAGACACACGTTTCCGTAATAAAAACTAAATCAGAACCGACTAGCAACTTTTCTGTTTACTGCAAAAAAAACGGAATAAAAATGCGGATAACAAGCCGTTTACAGTCACAATTATTCGCCTCTTTTTATGTAGTATGTAAGTCACGGATAATTCTGAAGGTTCTTGATGTTTTAAAAATTTTAATTCTTATTAATTTTAAACACAGTTTTGCAATTTCAACGATGTTGTTTACTGAAAATGCCTATTATTAATTTTACAGTTATTCCGTAAGACTCAAAAGTATCAAGATATTTTGTGACAAATACTTAGGAATAAATAATAACTTAAATAATAGGAAAATTCGTTTTACATACGGAAACATAGAATTATATTTAACAACGTATATATTTTTTAAAGATTCATAGATCATTAAAATTTGAATACTCCTCTGTACTCATTGTCAGCACTCAATTACATAAATAGGTAAAAGCAAATTTCTCAAAAGTGCGATATTTTAAAATTTTTAGATATAAATTTAATAATAAAATATTGTTATGCATATATAGTAGTTTCAGATAAAGTAAATTATGTATAAAACATCAAAAATAACTAATTCTAATAATATTATAATAATTTTTAGAAATCGATTTCCTTCATAAATAAAGTATCCATTTTTTTAATAACCATTTTTTAATAGACATTTCGTTCATCGATCAAGAGTTTTATCAACATTTTCTTTCTTCACATTTAATTTACAAACAATTTTTTTAACATTCATTCAAACAACCAAAAACAATTCATATTGAAAATTAATTATTTGTGATAGTTCCAGTGTATTTTTTAATCGTTGATTGCAATTACCTCATAGCATTATTATTAGTTCCATGTTATTTTTATATCATCATAAACGTGATTTATTCTCATTGCTAATATTATTAGAATTAATTTCGTTATCTATTTTTGATATTTATTCCATGGCTTACTTTGTGTGCAATAAATGCATAGTAACATCATTATTCATCTGCATTTTTTTTTATATATAAAATTTGGAATATACGCATTTAAGAAGGTGTTGAGTACAGGTATTTATCCAGGTTTTATACATATAATAAAATTTCGAATGTCGAATTTCGGCCTCCAAAAAATATTACAGTAGGCCTTTTTAGTAGAAATAAAATATGACTATAAACGAATGAATGAATGAAAATATGAATTTTGTTGAAAATTACTTTTTAGTAGGTATTCTACATTTAAAAAAAATTCATTCAAAATCGATTAATAAATACAATTTTTATCATTCATGTTTTAAATAGATCACTCTGTATATGATCAGACTAGTGGACACCCGTACAACTGCCTTTCAACCTCCCATCTCGCTATTACTACAGAGCCTTTATAAATGAGTACATATATGTCACGTGACCAGTAATTTTGTTTGGAACAGTAATTTTATTTCCTTCATGTTGGCAATTAAATTTTCGTAAAATTAAAACAATAATATCAAGATTACATAAAACGCAACATTCTATTTCACGAGATTTTATTCAACCAATCAGCGATCGCATTATCTCAATAGTAGACGTTTGTCATTGTTCATTGTAAATGAGTCATTAATATTGGTGACGCTAACATTTAAGTAGTTGATAGTATCATCCGTGAAATGTTGGTTGCCTAAGCTCGGGAGTCACGTGGTTTGTAATAATTTATGAAGGCTCTGTATTTAAGTGTGCTGATGGAATTTCCAGAATACGCAACGTTGTCAAGGTGTTTAGCGACGGTGCTTCCTAATAAAGAGTGTCCCAAAAGTAATGCAGAATTTAAATTGCGCGCCATTTTAATTTCGAAGAGTTGGCAGTATTGTGCAGGGTTACATGTAGTAAACACGTTACGGTTAGACAAAGTGGAACTCTATACGACGGACGAGCGAGTGATGATTGTGAAAATTCATTACAAGTACCGAGAGTGTATGACTGAGACTATGCGCAAATTACGTAAAATATTCAGTAGAAGGAACGCCCCTATTGAAACAACTGTGAAAAGTTTAGTTGAATTTGAACAAACAGGTTTTGTTACAAACAATAAAAAACAGGCCTGCCTCGTACTGGTTCAACCGAAAATATTGCTACGGTGAATGACTGGAATGATAGTGTGGAGGAAATGCCTGTAACCTCAGTGCACCGTCGGTCACTGCAATTAAACATTTCAAAAAGCACAATGCAGCGGATTTCAATAAAAGATCTGCATGTATTCTAGATTCAGCTAACCCAATAATTGAAACCAGACGACCACTTATTGCGCTGGATATTCGATGATTGGATGTTGGAGAATCAACAAGTGGACGGTGATTTTGCTAAGAAAATCATCTTTAGGGACGAGGCGCATTTCCATTTTAGCGAGTAAGTAAACAAGCAGAGACAATCCTCGGGCCATTCAAGAACAAATACCGTATACCCAAAGAGTGACATTTTGGGTGTGGATTTTATACTGGTGGAATGATTGGTCCGTTCTTTTTTGAAAATGAGTGCAGTGATTATCAATGGAGAAGAATATCGAGAGGTACTACTGAACTTTTTATGGCCTTATTTGGATGGCATGGATTTGGATGACATGGGGCTCCAGCAGGATGGTGCCAGTTGTCATACGGCACGTGAAATTGTCCACTTGTTAGGACAGAAATTTAATGAATGACTCATCTCACGTAACAGTTAAGTGACTTGGCCACCAAGATAATGCGATCTTACGCCATGGGACTTTTTCCTGTGGAGATTCGTAAGGTCAAAAGTTTATTCTGCTCAAACGGATACCATTCTTGAATTAAAGGCAGAAATTTGGATAATCATCAACGAAATCCAGCCGTAATATGCAAAACGTGATACAAAATTTTCTTAAAAGAAGTCGAGTATGCCAAATGAGATGCGGCGGACATCTGTCCGATATCCTCTTTCATATTTAATGGCAACCCTTTAAAAACATGTAGAAACTTTGCCAAGTTTTTAATAAATAAAATCTTTTTCCTCATATGAAATCCTGCGTTTCCTATTTAGGACACACTTTATCTCCAGTATAGTAAATAGTTTCAATAAATGTTTACCTATAGCCAAAGTTTTATAAGTGTATATTTAACATTCCGTAGGTCTTCGTCTTGAATACGTATATAACATTATCCGAGGAACAACTACAGCAATATTAAATTTTACAGTTCTTCA